GATTAGTAAAGTTATCAATTGCTTTTCAATGCTCTGTCAATTTCAAAACAGCAACTCTTAATTTTTTAAAAAAAATTTATTTATGCATTTGTGTGTGTGTGTGTGTGTGTGTGTGTGTGTGTGTGTGTCTAGCTCAGCCCACCAGGGGGCGGGGCTGGCTGGCATGTGGTGCTGGGGGATTGAACCGCGGTCCCTGTGCTTTGCTAAGCTTGTTCCAAGTAGATGCCTTAGACCACTGAGCCATCTCACCAGCCCAAGGAATACATTTTGTACTAATATAATATAAACTAATAAAAAAAAACCATAACTGTCCTCGAACATTACTTCATGGCCACCTCATGAGAAGCATTCCTACTGCGGCCTTTCGGTCACAGCACAGGCACTCAGGGCTGGCTGTGAACTTTCCCAAGATAGGAAGTCTAATTTTATATCAACATTTAACTCTGGGGATCACCTGTTCAGCAGTCAGATTTCAGTCTTATCCTCTTCCACTGAAAGAATTTTTTAAAGAGAGAATCCAATCTGTTGGGCTTGGAGGACGTGAGCAGTTTTGACTCCAATCCTTGTTCCTAGGCTGGTTGGCTATTTTGAGTAGAGACCCTGTTAACAGAAATCCATCATTTTCTTTTTTGCTCATGCTCTTCTGCAGAATGCTCCCTTTCCTAAATGGTCTCACCAGTCACCTGAGGTCCTCATTCTGGTTCTTCTCTTCCCTGAAGTGGTCTCTGATACCTCCCTGCCTAGAGCTCAAAGCTCTTTTTCTAAATGATCCTTATAGCAGTGAATCATGCACATGCTTGATATACTCCAATAATGATTCTATGGTAAGTGTAATCCCCAGCTCACTCACTCAGCTTTGCTAATTTTGATATACAGCTGACATCTCTGTCAGCAGAGTCTCTGGAGTATTAATGCAACTCTGCACACTGGCTTTTGTTTGGGCAGATGTTTTTATCTATTGTCTTTGTCAATCTGCTTTCCATGAAGAAAATTTGGCAGACCTTCAAAGGATAAATATTATTGACTTTCCTTGGAAGACAATGGAAGTGACATCACTACTGAATTTCTTAAAGTAAAAATGGAAGATAATGAAATGCAGCACAGTAGTTGTAAAACAGATTGCACTGTTATCCATCACTTCATAAAATAAGTATGGTTCCCACTCCTTTACATGATGTTCTTTGTAGCACTTAGCACAGAAGAATGATTCCCTGACAACTCATCCAGGAAATATTTAGACCTATTTGCTCTAAGAATAAGGTGAAAATTAAGCATTCTCAGATGAAAAATCCACTGGATGAAATAGTGTATGATCAGAACAAAGTGTGTGATGGTGTAAAGTCAGATGAAACAAATGTGCTAAAACCAGACATTTAGAAAATAAATGCATTGCATAACCAGAAAATACTTGATTTAAATAGTTTTGAATATTATGCTTCCAATAATCTTGAAGCTACTCATTGGACCCGGTGAGAGCTTATCTTTGGCATTTGAAAACTTCTTATTTTTGCTGGATCTGGTCTGAGAATAGGAAGGGACACAGGGCGACACCCTAAATATGGCTTAATGATCTAAAGTTCTTTATAAGCAGGGAGATTAATTCTAAAATCTGAGAATTTTATATGGGAATAGAATCCTAATATAATTTTCAAAGGAGAAACACTTCCTAGAAAAAGATCATGTTGACTCATTCATTATCTGTATATTTCACCATATAAAGACTCACTCTTACAGGCTCCATATTAGGAAGAGGATTAGAACTGTCACCTAATATGTCCATTAAACTATTTTAATTCATGATTCATAGGTTTCACCCATTCCATGACTTCAATTATCTATAAGATGCTTTCAGGAAAATAGCTTACAGTGATATAAAAAAAGACTAAACTGAAATTCTGAAGACCTGGGTTCTCTCTTCTGTTCAGTTCATTTAGTCTTTTGTGTGCTTTATTGACAATGATGTTGTCTCACGGAAATGTGATAATGATTTTCTATTTGTGAAGAGCTACGGATTCAAGGTATTTTGATCTTTTTAAGCAGATAATTTTAGGCTGAAATAATACAGCTTGTCTTTTGTTAGGCTTTATTACCCAGGGAAAGGTTCACTCCCACGAATCTTCCCTGGCTTAGGAACAAGGGTCTCTGCTTATGCAACCTGCATGATCTTTTTCTGGCTGCTGGATCACAGGTGCTTTGCCATTCTCAGTCAGTTTGCAAATAAAATGCATCTTGAACTTGTTTACCTTTAAACAAATGAATAAATGGGAAGCTGCTTGGAGTTAGAGAACACCTAACCAGCTCTCAGGAGGTATGAGTCCATAGTTCCTGCTTGCAGGACACAAAGGCCCTGCAGAGGACAGCTGACAATAAAACGATTTATAACATTTTATATATAGATGATATTCCTACAACCTCAGAATTTGGAAGGCTGAGGCAGGAAGACTTTGATTGCAAGGCAGCTTGGGCTACCAAAAATGTTCCAGGCCAGCATGGACTACACAGTGACTCTTGTCTCAAAAAAACAAAAGATGTAAAAGCCATACTGGCTTCCCCCTATCTTTTTAATGGGGGCATATTTATTGCTATCTGAGTTACACCCACAAGGAGAAATTATGTGTGGGCTTAAGAGTAAGAGTAATATGATTAAACACATGCATGACCCATGATCACTGAGACTGTTAAAATCCAGTTGTGGAAGAGCTGTTCTCCATCATTTCTAGAAGGCAGCAGAGAAAACAGCCCATATGCCCTTCTTACCTAATAGTTTGATTTTTTCCTTGAGGTCATGTAACAGATGAATCTAATGAGAGACTGGGTACAATTCATGACTAAGAAGGGGAACATGTGGAACTTGACTAACGCTGGCTACCAATTATGAGCTCACTGGACTCAGCCTCACTGCCAAGACTAAGAGGCTGGGAAGTCTCAGGAACTGTGAGCAGGATGTGACACAACAGAAAAGGAGAATGGCAAGGCTGGGGACGGACGGACACACACACACACACACACACACACACACACACACACACACACACCTGCAAAGAGCAGGAAGGTTGGGCAGTGCAGCAGGGGAGCCCACTTCCTGTTCAACCTGGTTAGTCATGGCAGATGATCAGATAAGAGAACGGCAAGAACTTCCAGCCCGGGGAAGAGCCATCCCTGAGGTGGCTGGGAGAAGTCATTTCAGGGATACAGCTCAAGAAGAGAGAGGTTTGAGAGAAAGAGCGGCCAGTGATTAGGTGCAGGTGTTTTTGTTGAGGGAGAGAGGGTGACTCACTAAAAGGCAGGAGTCTGTGTGTACATTTCCTGTTCCTGTTTTCTAAACCAACACCCTAGGGGACCTTGAGCTGCTCTGGGGCAGGGAAGCGCTTTCTATTGCCCTCCTTGTAACTGCGATAGTCTCATCCCATGCAGACCAGCTGAATGCACAAAAGACCCAGCTTGCGGGGCCTGCTGTAGATGGCGTCCATATGGGGGGCAGAGACATGTGCCTTGAGAAGTTCATAGTTAAAAAAAAAAAAAAATACATCACATACATTCATTTCCTCTCAAGTTGAGGGCTCCTGTTTTTAGCATATCAAATCTTCAGAAAGTAAAAAGGATGGACTGAAATCATTTCTTACCTTATTTTAACAGGCCAAGAAAGGTACTTTTTAGAGAAGCAATTTTTCTAGCCAGTCATGAAGAAATCTTATTTTCTTATGTCCTTGTTTATTACTATAAATGAGCAAGCTCTCTTTAACATTTACTCTTTATTGTGTTGTATGAAGTACCTAAGTAATGCAAAATTTACTGTACTAAAATACCCATATTTCCAAAATAACATTACACGGCGTAGCCCCCAGTCTCTGTAGAAGTATTATGAGTAACCTGCGCCTTTTTACTTAACAACGCACTGTTGACTGCTGTTGGAAGGATGGTAACAGATGAGGAAGAAAGAAAACAAAAAGCTAAGTATGAATACATCTTCCCAAACACACATAGCCATAGTTTACAATGGAACCGCTACAGAAACAAGTAAATGACATTTGATGTTACCTATAAAATGTAGACTCTGCAATAAAAAGCCAAAGGCACATAAAAATATATTTTAACTTTAAAAATAACTTAGTTACAATAATACCTTGTGTCTTACCAACATGGAGCTGACAGTCAAAAGTTTGCAATATAGATACAGTATAATATATGAGAGATACGTAAGAACTACACAGAAACCCCCAAAACCCATTAAAGTTGCTCAAATGTGAAAACACAGAAAAGTTTTAACACTGGCGAACTCGTGAGCCCAAACCATTGAATGTACAAAAGAGTCTAGAAAAAAGGCTTGGGTGTTAAACACATTTCGACTTTCCCATGCTCAGAAAAATGTCAGAGTGCTGCCAGGTTCCTTGCAGGACTCAGCCAGCCCCTCCCGGCCAGCGCCAACCCCGCCGGGCTGGACTTCTTAGCGTCTGCAAACAAGAAAGCTTGAGCTGAACAGCAGCAGGGCCTGCTGAAAATGGGCTCGGACTCACTTTCTCTTTCTGCCAGGACAGGATTTTTGTTGTTATTTTTTTCTAAATGACTTTTGCAAACAGTTAAAAAAATATTTTTATAGGAATAGGAATATTATTTTAGAAAATGCAACACAAGATTGCAAAAAACAGCCAGGGAAGCTCTTTCTTTCAACTGCAGTTACTTTTTTTCCTTTCTTTCTTTTGGTACCTTTTGCCCCAAAGCAGAAAGAGCATCCTGTTACTTATTTTTATCCATGACATTCAGCACCTCATCCAAAAGTGAAGGCCCCAGATCAAGCTGCAGGGAGAGGAGAGAACCGGTCAGGTCGGAGAGGGACTCCTCGGACGTAGTCTTTCCCTTCCTGAGCTCGCACGGGGCAGGATGGTCAAACATGTCCTCGGCTGGCCAGTCAGTGTACTGTTCAGACAAGCTGGAGGAGTGGCTGTCCCTCCCCTGGCTGGAGTGCGAGGCCGAGCCACTGGAGCCCCACGAGGTGTCACCCTGGTGGATGGTCCCATTTCCCAACAGGCTGCTTTTCTCCTGAGCTTTTTCCTCTATGACAGGCTCGCAGCTGAGCCTGGGCAGCTTTGGCGGCCCAAAGGACTCCTGTTTGGAATTAAATGTCACTGGTGACAGTAAGGGCAACATGAGCGCTTGGGAACCTCCAATGGTAGGGAGGGAGATGGCGTTTTTGAGCACTGGGGAGGGTGTTTCAATGAACATGGAGTCTGAGGTGCTATTGGCGCGAAAGAACTCGTTATGCCCAGGAAACTGGCCCAAGCAAGCTTTCTCCTGGTTTCCAGGCAGTAACTCATAGTTCCCCTGGAGGAAGGATATATCTCCAAAGACGTCATGCTGGCCCTCTTTGCCGATGTGAATGGTGTGGCGAAAGTCCCCAAGGGGCGGACTAATCATATCAGGAGACAAAATGTCCCTCAGTTTAAATTTCTTTCCTTTTTTGTTGTTAGCAGCTTTCAGATAGATTGGGGTCTTGGCTGGCATTTTGAAATTTTGGAATGTCTTTCTTTGCAAAAAGAGGAAAAGGGCCACTTTCTTCACGGATGTTATATGTTTCTGAAAATCTTTTTTGGCAGGAACTCTCACATCATTTTTTTTCAAGTAGCTTGAAAAGCGGCTCTGAAAGGGGATGGGGTCCAAGAGCCCTCAGGGAGCTTCCCGTACACCTGCTTACATCATTCAGTTCCTTCCACAACGAGGAGAAACCTGGAGAAGAGAGCAAAGCAGGTTATAATCTGCTGGTGTCCGGGTCTGCTCTGGCCTGCCTTTTCAGGAAAGCTTGAACATCGCGACCGGGTCACTTCCCACCTACACCCAACTTTTGTTTCCCTCCACTAAACAAAATAAAATTTTTATCTTAATAAGGATTCAGCAATTTTTGTTTTAATTCAGGAGAAAACACAATAAAAGGGGAGAGGACTTAAAATCCCTCACCCTATGTAATCTTAAAAATATGGCCATGAAAAAAAAAAAAAATATGGCCATGGAGACAATTTTCTGAACATGTCTAAGATTTCAGCCCTTTTGTTACAGTTCAGATCTAAAATGTACCACCAAAGTCTCACGTATTCAGAGTGGGCATCTGGAGTGGGACAGGCTTGTGGGGTGCTGTCTTCATCAGACGAGTCCACTGAGGAGTTCACTGAGTCTGCTGGAGCCAGGGCTGGTGCTGGGGTGTGAACTAGCTCAGCGCTCCTGCCCCGGCTCCAGTCCTCCCTCTCTCATCAGCTGTCCTAACCAGGCCACTTCCGCCCCAAGCCAGCCAACCACGACCTGAAGCCTCTGAAACCATGAGCCAGAAGGAACTCCTGTAAACTGCTGATGCTGGATATTTCACTCCAGTGGTGGCAAGTGGCTCACACAGCTAGGAAGTGCTGTCAGCATATGACCTCCAGGACTTGTTTTGAAATAGTTGTTCTTTTGATATGTATACTACCAAGACTTCTGGTATTTTGTTTTTGAGTTCTTCACATAATTAAGATGTGGACAGTAAGTCCCTCACTTACGAACATGCAAGTTGTGAACTTTCACAGGTTTACAGTCTAAGACTCACTCTGTAAAGTACAAAAAGATCCAGCTTATGAAGGTTCTCGCCGAATGGGACTCATTTCTAAGTTGAGAACTTACTGTAATCCTATAAGGAAAGGGGATGAAAATACCATTTACTAAGTGACAGTGACTATATTAGAGAAGCACCCAGCAACATACTAGAATGAAATTCTAGGATTCTAGAACAAAATCTTGGAGTTCAATTTCTATGGAGATTAGAAGTCAAGGAAAGCAAGCAAGCAAGCAAGCAAGCAAGCAAGCAAGCAAGCAAGCCTGCCTCAGTAACATATAGCTGGAAAACAAAAGATCCAGAGTTGGAATGAAGCTGTACTGGTGGAGAGTACCAGGCAGCCAAAGATTTTACCACCTGGAGGTACTATGATCTGGAAGGAAAGCAACAAAATTGCCTCACTGAACAAAACAAAACACTGTAATCATACAAAATAAATTGGGCTTTCACTTGGGAATATTCTGAAACTTGTATCCTCTTCCTAGAGTAGGCACAATCCTAAAGGGACCCCACAACTGGCCTTTTGCCTTTGTAAGTAGAACCTGTGACTTGTTTCTATGCAAAAGAGTATGGCAAAGACATACACCATTCACAGCCTATGAGACAGATCTGTCTTGCTGGCTTTAAAGAGCAAGTTGCCATGCTGTGGGAGGGCCTAGGGAGAATTCTGCCTATGGTGACAAGGTGGTGGTGGATCTTTCCTCAGTTGAGCCTTTCATGAGACACAGCCTTGGCCTATACCTCAATCACAGACTAGTGAGAACCTGGATCCAAGCCCTACCCAGATTCCTAAGCTACAGAAACCATTAGATAAGCAAAGGATGTTGTAAGAGATTAAGTTCATTGTCCTTTGCTAAGAGCACAGAATGTTAGCACATCCTTCCTTCATGGACTGACAGGATTACACATGAAGGGCCAGAAGAACACCTCAGGAATGTCAGGCCTTTATTGCCCCCTCACCTCTGGGAAATAATCTTCCAACTGCTCATTTGTACCTGCTGAGACAGAAAATCTAAAATCTTTCCCATCTTTGCTGTAACCTTTCCAACAAGTCTCCTCCCCCTTGCCTCACAGCCTGCCAGCAAATATGCCAAAGTTGGGTTAGAAAGTGGCTTCAAGAAAGCCCCGTGTGCTCTGTGGCAGCTGGAGGCCATCTGCATCTGCCCCATATTTCTTCCCTTTCAGCAAGAGTTTTAAACTCATCTAATAGTGGCAGGTGACAAGAACTGTGCTCTACCACCACTAACTCTGGGAAGCAGGCTGCCCAGTGGGCATAGGTGTGCTGTCCAGCAACCAGCACTGAAAAGGTCCAGGATGACAGCTCTGGGGACAGGGAGGAGATCCAGGAGCAGGAGCTTTGTTCCTGCTCAAAGTAGACTGACTGTGGAGCTGCCAACCATACCCACCTCCACCAAGAACAAGTTCGGGAACAACTTCCCCACCTGGGACAGGGAGGAGGAGGGAGAGGAGAGGGATACCACTCTCCGAGGGTGCTTGGAAGACTGGATGGTCCTCAGGCTTCCTGGCCAGGCCCTTGTGGTCAGCCCCTGCCTGGCACGGGCATGAGCACTGTAGGCCTCTAGCCATGGTTTGCTTGGCCTGGAGAAAGCTGGGCTTCCGTCAGTGGTCAGTGGGTGTATGAAGTAGCCAGAAATCAGGAGAAAGGTTAAGGAAAGAGCTGATGCAGGGGATGGTAAGCTGTAGACAGTAAGATTTTGTTTTTTTTTTTTTTTTTTTTTTTTTCTTGGTGGAACCAGGGATTGAACTCAGGTCCTTGCACTTGCCAGGCAAGTGCTTATTCCACTGAGCCATCTCCCTGGCCCTCCTTTTTTTTTTTTTTTTCTACAAGTGTTTACATAGTACAATATTTTACTGCCTGACAGGGATCTAGGTTTCTACAATTTTAGAAATAATAAATTTACCCTGAACTTCTACTCTGTATGAGTTCTAAGAGTTTCTTAGTGCACTGGAAGTTTAAAAAAAATGCAATGTTGGGTCAGCGTGTCAGGTTTACAACATTGGCCAGTTGGTTATCTGCCCTCTCTGACCATCCCTCTATCTCATCTGCAGCTATCTGCCCTCCTCCAGCTTAGGACAACCTTGCCTGCCCCAGCAGAGGCGATGTGCTATGCTCCACTTCCCCTGTCATCGCGCTCACATCTTCCTCCCCTTCCTGAATCCACGGGCTCTCAGCTTATCAGCCAGTAGCTGTCTATGGAGCTCTGATCAGCATTCTTCTTTTTCTTTCCTAGCTGACTGTTCTTTTAACAGCATCTCTGCCCTCAGTTATGCTGAAACACCATGGGATAGTTCCCTCACCGGTCACACAGTGGCCAGGCCAGAAAGGACTGGCGCCTCTCCTGTCTATCCTCAGTACCCTCACACCATAGTCAGTGTTGCTGGTGGCTTCTCCCGCTCAGGGACACTGCTCCAACTTTTGACATGAATTCACTTACTCACAAGAACCTGGGAGGTTGCTGCTGCTGCTGCTAACTCACTAATATCACAGTGTGTTAAGCAGATGCTGCTGAGGCACCATGCCGCGCCATCCCGCCAGGGCGCATGCGCTGAGCACTACCTATGCCAGGAGGCTGCGCGCTGGAGTCTAGGCCAGTCAATGAGTGCACTCCCCAGGATTCAGTCAACTTCAGAATTACAAAGAATGCATTTGAAGGCCCACTACAGATGCAAGCACATGACAATGTGCCAGTTGATGAGGACAGGGGACCAGTCCTCAGTATACTGACCAAAGCATGGAACACTGACAATGTCTATCAAAAATGTTAAGTCGTGCACACTTTGATGCCAGATTTCACTAACAGGGAGACTATATGCAAGGGTATTCATATGACCAGTTTATAACAGCCAAGGGTTGGAAATGACCTAATTATCCACCTACAGAGGTCTGGTTAAATAAATTAAAGCCCATCCCTACAGAGGAATATTATTACATCTAAAAAAGGATAATGCTTTTAATAGCATGATACAGAAAGAGCCCAAAGATGTGCAGCTCCAAAGGAAAAAAAGGAGAGGTACAAAAGCACACTGCCACATTTGTATTGCCATGTGTCAAAATATTTCAGGAGACATACACAAGAAATGTGCAATGTTGACTGCCCTCAGCAGAAGTGGGTGGAAGAGGGACAAAGGCAAAAGAAGAAAAAACTTCCATGATATATTCTTCCATAATTTTGGGTTTTCATGTCAGGGGAACACACTGGCCATTTAGAAAAATGAAAAATTTATCAGGCCCTGATACATATCCCTTTTTTAAAGAGTCAATGTTATGTACAGCACATAGGCCGGCAGAGCCCATGGAAGGTGAGCTACAGATCCTACATCAACATTTTTATAGGAGGGGTTCAAGGGCAAAGTGAGGCTAGATAAAGGCCTCAAAGAGGGCTGAGCTTCATCTCATCTGAGCTTGGCAAAGGGACAGGTAGGTAACTTCTTCCCACAGTCTTGTGTCAAAGGGTGGCACTGGTTTCTTATTTTATAGAATGGGAAACACCTCCCACCAGAGATGTTCTTAGTCTGAAGAGAAATGAGAAAAGGCAGAGGTAAGAGAGAATGGGATCTGGAGGAATGGAGAGATGGCAGAGCACATGGCTGAGGGAATACAGGCAGGTGGAGTCACCCAGGCGTGGGACCTTGGCATGTAGGGGAGCTAGGGACAGCATTTTATGGTGCAATCGTCCTAAATGCCCTGACATGAAATCCCAGCCTTCCTTATCATGGTAAGAAAAGAAGATGGCCTAGGACACTGCTGGTGGCTGACAAACATGTCAATAAACAGGGAAATCAATGAATTAGAGCTGTAGAACAGGGGCTGAGGACACGCAGGGAGAAGAGGGACCTGCCCGTAGGAGGAAAAGCGCCAACCAGAAGGTTTTCTGGACTAGAAGTTAATCAATTAGAATGGGAAAGGGAATTCCCCTCTGTGCTCTACAAGCCAGGGAAGAGAATTCCTAATGTTTGTGTGTAAGGAAAAAGCCCGCCATCCTGACTCTTGAGCACCAAGTACTGACAGTGCTGGCCACTCACACAGGCCACCCTTGCTCCTTTCATGCAAGCAAGGACTCCTTTCCCAAACTGCACTTTATTTTTCCCCATTTCCAGTTTCCTTTAGCTGCCATTCCTCCACTCC